CTTAGGCACCAGGATACATGACAGAAGCCTTCAGGGAGTCTGTGTCCTAATGAGAGAGACTGACACAGCCACGATAGGTGACACAGTTGACGTAAAAGTGGCATGTGTGACACGGCAAGACAGACAGGAAGGAGCTGCTGACAGTGGACTACCGAAGGCCCTCAAAAAGGCAGGAGTACTCCAGGAAGCGAGAACCGGAAGGCCAAAGGCCACTGAGGGAGCAACAGGGAAGGAGGCAGGAAACAGTGTCCACGTGACCAAGGCCCGGGAGATGGCCCCTTGGACCGTGAGAAGGGAAGACATGGCCAGAGAACAGGATCATGCTGGGTATCTTGGGACCTCCAACCAACGCACATCCTCATCCTGGCTCCTCCTCCCCAAGATAAAAAGAGCCCACAATCTTGCCACCACCCCAGTCCCTCCTGTTTATAGAGGGTGTGAGCCAGTCGGGTCCTCTCTGGTTGGATCTAACCCAGCGGTCATCAGGGGAGGAATACCAAGAAAGGTGGGCATTAGGAAGAAAAGGAGAGTCCTCTGCCCAAGAGCCACTACCCAGGTAGGAGCAGGCTCCTGTCCCAGGCTCTTCAAAGGGGAACCACCTGCAGAGCACGAGGTTCGGAGCTAGACTTGCAGGGTCAGGATCCGGGCCATGCCACCTGCTGGCTGGGAGAGCCTGGGCAAGTCATTCTGTTATAGGCAGCTGTGTTAGAAATATTTTAGGCAGTCAGATAGGGCTGGGCCCTCAAAGAAACCATTGCAGAACAACTGTGGGGGAGACAGACACCTCCAGTTGGGCCAGACCTTAAGACAAAAAGATCAAATGTGCCCACAGACTTCCTAAGGATAAGCATCAGGGACTGATATTCTAAATAGGTCTCTATCACCCTGAGGCAGCCAGGAGTCACCAACCCAACTCCCTTCAGGAAGTCACTGCTCTTTAAGCAGGCTGGTCTGCTGAGTGATTTGTCCCCAATTTAATCAATTTTACCTGAACAATTCATCTTACTGGTTGGCCACAGTTCTGTCCCACCTCAGGCCCACCTTGTAAGTTCCCATGTTTTCTCCTCTTTAGACCTGTCTCACTTTGTGGTTTTACTCCATAAAAGTCCCTAGAAAAGACACAATCTTTGGCAACCCACTCAGGACCCCTTCTGTCTCTCTGTCTGGCAGAAGCTTTCTTTCTCTCAATAAATATATCCTGCTCTTAACATTCATTGTCCCTAAAACTCAGTTTTAGAGAACAGGAACTTGTACCAGAGATCTAGTAGGCTGGGAGTTCCTTTCTCCTATACAGTTCAATCTCTCTGAATGGCAGATTCACTCTCCTAAGCAGACTAGCATGGAACTGAGGGGCTGCGGGCCCTGAATGCCTAGGCTAAGGCACAGCAAGGAGCCCCGGCAGGAGTCTGACTGACCTCCCCATCCCTGACCATCGTGGCCTCCTCTCACTAACCCTGGCTCGCCCCACCCCAGCCACCCAGAAGGCCCAAGACCAATCCCCTTGGTATTGGGGGCTCAGCATTGAGCTGGACACACCTGGGTGGCTTTGAGCAAATTACTCAACCCCTCTGTCCCTCCATTTCCTCACCTGTTTTTAAAAAAAGGAAAAGGAAAAAAATACTAAACAGGGCACAATGGCACACACCTATAATCCCAGGCCTGGGAGGCTGAGGCAGGAGGACAGCAAGTCTCAGGTCAGCCTCCGCAATTTAGCAAGACCCTGAGTGAAAAACATAAACGGTATGGGGATACAGCTCTGTGCAAAGGCCCTAGGTTCAATCCCCAGTAATAGAAGAAGCAACGGAGTTCTAATAGCTCTTCCCTGCACGTAGGTCTGTAGGGTCTCACTATGTAGTCCAGGCTGGCCTCAGACTTGCGGTGATCTTCCCGTCTCAGCCTCCCAAGTGCTGGGTTTACAGGCATGCACCACAAGGACAGGCTGTGGTGAGGGTTCTGGAAGATGGATTATATCCAGTGCCTGACACGCAAGCAGGTACTCAGGAGAGAAGAGCTAATGTGGATTGGCAGATCTGGGGCTCTGGGATCTGATTGGCTACCTGAATCCGATGTTGGCCCACCCTCTTCCTGTGTGTCCTCAGGCAATTCACTGAACCTCTCTGAACCTTGCTTTCTTCATCTGTAAAATGAGAGTCACAGTGAACCAGGCTGAAAACATATGTGAGATGGAAGGGATACCGTGTTCTGCAGAGCACAGGACACTGCGGGATCAGGAGCCAGCTCTTAGCATTCCCTGCTATAACTGTTAACCATTTACAAAGCAAAGCCTCCTAGTAACCCGCTGCATCTTTTCATTTCTCCCTCCCTTCTCTCCATAGCTGGGGAAACTGAGGTGAGGGCCATGGAGAGGGCTGAACCCCACCCAAGGCTCTATCTTTGGCGAGAAGGTAAAGAGAACGTTCTGGTCTCCCACCTCACCAGGGACCACCTGCCTGAGGCCCCTCCCCAGGAGGACAATGAGCTGGCCCGCCTGGGCCCGGAGGAGATGCCACCTGTTGCCAAGCCCGCAGAGTCACACCAGTGACGAGTTCCCCGGCTCCAGCAGAGGGCACCCGCGAGCCCCGACCGCGGCAGAGGCATCGGACCCGGAGCCCGGACTAGGACAGGGCTTCGCGTCGGGGAAAGCGCGATCCCGGGTGTTCGCCGCGCGCTCGCCCGGCCGCGACCCCGTCGCCGCCCCGTGCTGGGAGGCAGAGGCCCGGCCAAGGCTGCGCTGGCCACCCGGGAGCCGGCGGCACTGCCGGCCCAAAGGCCCCGCGTGTCTCCTCCCTGGGCCACGCGTGTCCCACCCAGGACTCGGCCTCCGGCGTCGCGGTGTGTAGCGCAGGAGCCCCAGTGGCCCAAGGCCCGGGACTACCCGAACCCCCGCTCCGGCCCCGCTGGTGTCCCCTGCCAGCCCACCGGGGTCCCCGCGCCCGTCCCTCCCACAGATGCGGAGGGGCAGAGCTTGGCCGCCGCGCGTGGAGGCTGCGGGGCCCGGAGAGCGTGACACGGAAGGAGCCGGGCTGCCCGGGGGAAGGGTCCACCCCGGCGGGGTCTCCAGGTCTTCCCGGGCGCACCCGCGAGGCCACTGAGCCCGGCCACGCTCGCACCCCCCTGCGCCCTGGGCGCGTGGCAGGGCGATCACAGCGCCGCGCAGCCCGGCCCGCAGGACCAGGTCCCCAGCCCTGCCCGGGAGACCCCTGAGAAAAGGAGGAGCCTGCGCGCCCCAGGGGCAAAGACCTGCGCGCCACGTACCGTCCCCAGCCGGCTTCTCAACGGCCGTCCCGGCCAGGGGCTGAGGGACCAGGCTCTTAGGACCTGCGGATCTTGGATAGCCTGGAAGGAAGCGCCGGGCAAACCCCTGGCTCCCGCCCGGCCTGCCCCTTAAAGAAACACACGCCCCTTTCCCTCCCAGGGCTGGGCCCCAGGGGAAGAGATGGTGCAGCCTGAGCAGCCTGGGAAGGGAGGGCTGGGGACCACCCTGAAGCCACCCAGGGAGCGTTCGGAGGGGAGGCCAGGCGCAGGTGGGAGGGGAGCATTAGTGGGGGAGGGTGTCCCCATGAGACCCACCCCACTATACCAAAAACAGTCGAACTGAGCAGAAAGCCGTTGGCCAGCGCTCTGAGCGCTGTCGCCCCCACCCCCCAGCCCCCGTTTAAACTGTAACTGCAAGAGTCCTGAGTGCTTGCATGCACCCCATGGTGCGCAAGGGCATGCGGACACCCTCCTGGGAAAATGGTCTAGAGAAGCTGTCTCCGGTAAACCCACTTAAAGGTGAGGTCCACGTGGGAGCAGGGAGAGGAAAGTGCACCCCCAGCGGCCCAAGCGGTAATCAGGTTCCCAAGGACAGTCGGAGATGGCGCCTCCCTGAGGATTCTGGCGTCGGTCAGCGTGGCCATCAGGCGCCACTTCTCAGGATGCCTCTGTTTGGACAGGGTGTTTTTTTATCCGGTTCAGACCAACAGCCACTCCACCCCCACGGCCCCTATTTCCTCAACTGAGAAGACCAGGAGGTCACTCAGCCAGGTGGGGGAGGACCTCAGGGTCCCAGAGCCCTGTGCCTCTTCCTAGCACAACTCAAGACCATGCGTGTGTGTGTGTGTGTGTGTGTGTGTGTGTGTGTGTGCGCGTGTGTGTGTGTGTGTGTGTGCATACAGAGGACTGCAATATAGTGTTAAACTACACAGTAAATTGCTCCTGAAGCTGAGCACTAGACATAGGAGCAAATGAGAGCCCCAAAGTCCTCTAGGGGGAAGACACAAGTCTGACCCCTAGGAAGAATGGAGGGGAAGCAAAAACAGAAGAAACAGGCATAATCACCAATGACAATGGCCAGCTCTGGCGGCCCCAAGGGGTTTGCCTTGTCTCACTGGTTCTTCTGTGTCTTCTCCCCGTTAGTCCTGGCAAGGCCAGAGTCAGTCTTTTGACTTCCGTTTTTCAGATAAACTGAGAACCAGAGACCTTGAGTGCATTACCCAACCAAGCCAGGTGACTCCATATCAGGATCTGAACCCAGGTTGTCAGACTTGAGACTTTGCGGCCAGAGCTTTTAAACCAGGAACAAAAAGGAGCCAAAGTGAGGGGACCCCAGTGCAGGCCGTAAGAAGGGGGCAGTTAGAAGCCTACAAAAGGTGAAGGGGAAGGAATGAGAGGTCACCTCTGTCCACCAAACCAGGCAAGGGCCTGGTGACCGATGTCTGCCACACTGCCCAGCCAACCAAAGACAGCCAGCAGAAATACCAGATGTGGCAAAAGCAGGCCAGCTACGGGATGGGAGTGAGGCTCAGTTTCCCCTTCTGCAAGGAAGACTCTGGGGTCCGGGAAAGCCTCAAGCTAGTGGGTCAGTGGGATGCAAAAGCATCTCAGACATCCAGGACACTGTTCCCACTGTATGCCGCTCCCCAGAGGAGGAGGAGCAAGGCTGGGGTAGGACAGGCTCACGGGTAAGTCCTGAGGCCAGCAACCCCAGAAAGACTCCCGATTCGATCCACACGACTCACCAGGGTGAGGTGTCCAGCGCTCCAGTTCATATGGCACCCGCTGCCCAGGGCTACTGTTCTGTCCCTGCCAGCAAGGCGGCCTAGCAAGAGGCGGCTCTCTGGAAGGAGCCACCTCCAGTCCAGTTCCTCTGATGTCGCTCCAGCACAGCACAGCCCGCCCTCTGGCGGCCACGTGGCTGATCTCCTGCTGCCCAGAGGCTGCCTGTGCTGTCTCAGCTTGGCTCCCAGAGCTTGGTTGACAGTGTATCTTGCAAACTCAGGTGAGTTGGACTGCGCTGGGGGTGGACTTCAGCCGCAAAGCACTTGCTCGCATGTGGAGGCCTGGAGCTCTGGCCCCAGCACCTCCGACACTAGGAAGCAGGCATGCGGGTGCGCACTTGTGATCTTAGGATAAACCTGAGCTTAGCCCTGGCGATTTCGAAAGAACTTGTCTCAAAATAAAAAAAGGGCTCAGACTCGGTGTGAAGGCCCTGGGTTCCTTCTTCAGTACAGAAAAGTGGAGAGAAGGGGAGGAGGGAGAGGGTACCGGATGGTTTCACTGGCCCCTTTCCCAGCTAGTCAGCACCTCCTCCTGTCTGCCACCCCTTCCTGGCTCACCAGGTCCCCTGCACTGGGGAGGCAAAGGACACCTTTCTTGCCAGTCCTGGAGCACCCAGGGCAGCAGCCTCCCAGGATCCTGTGTGCTGGGCCAGGAGGCCCAGAACCCTCTCCCCTCCCCAGGCTGCCCTTGCTGGGCCTGCCTGGAAGCAGCCCAGGCTCTGCAGGCTCCTAATGGTTTCTACAGCCTAGCGCTCTGATTACAGAGCGAGGGGAAATGGTTGGAGGGGAAGCCAGCAGTGGCTGCAGGTCCTCCTGGCACGGGAAGGAGGCAGAGGCATTCCAGGAGGCGGCCTCAGTGCCAGGCACTCCCTGGCCCTCAACCAAGCAGCGGCTGTGGCAGAGCCTGCTGGAGATGGGGATGGAGATAGACAAGGCAGAGCAGGGAGGAGGTGAGTCAGCGCCCCCAGACCCAGAGTCCCTCCTCCTGCTGTCCTCATGTGGAGAACCCAGGAGTGGAGGTGGGGCCAGTGCCCCGTAGATCCCCCTGGGAGGAGCAATGGCGCGCAATGAGGAAGCATAGCCAAGTTCCAGTGGCGAGTACAGATATATTTTGGAAGCTGTTCATGGCCCTGTCCACCCAGCCAGCCATCTGGTAGGCGCCAGGCTGGCTCCAGCCTCCTGTCTCTCCATAGCCCCAGGGCCCCTCTGTCTTCTTCCTAAGACAGGGTCAAGAGGGTTTCCAGTAGATAAGGCGTGTCTGGGAGGTGAAGCGTGCGCCTGCAGCGTGCGCCCCAGGGTGTGACCAGGCCGTAATCACTGGCCTGGTGCCTGGCGGGGCTCCGTCTGGAATCAACCCCTCAAGAGTCAGCTCGGAGTTGGGGACTCCGGATTTGGGAAGGTGCCGAAATGCCACACGCCAACTCGGCATGCATCCCAGTGAATCCCAGACCGAGCCCCTCAGAGAGCCTGAGAAACCAGGTTAGACGGGGCAGCTTAGAGCTTGAAGTAAAGGGGAGAGAGGTGACAGCGTCAGGCACCTCAAGGCCTGGTCCCCTCCCTGTGCCCAGCCCCACTGCCACTGGATGGGGAAGCACGCCACAGCAGGTAGGGGGCAGGGCGTGGAGGGCAGCCCTGTGGTCACTTGGGTCCCTCGGGCCTGATCTTCAGGCCAAGTGCTAACAGCCCAGCAGCTCCAGGCGCAGGGTGATACGGTTTTGCCAGGACACGGGCAGCACGCGCACGTAGCGAGCCGAGAAGGGCGTCTCGAACACATTCTTCTTATGGGAATTGTTGTCCAAGTTTCCACGGAAGATCTGGAGGCAGGGAGGGGCACCCCAGAATCAGCCCTGTCCCCGCAATTCCCCAGGCCCAAACCTCCTGCCCAATAGCGAGTAGAGGGCGACATATACTCTCACCTTGCTGTCCACAGCCCCTGGCTCCTTGTACTCAGTCCAGCTGATACCATTGTCACTGTAGGCCACCTTGTAGGAAGCCACATACTGGATGTGGCCGAAGTCACGGGCACCCTGGGTGATGATCCCTGTCACCTGCTTCTTCGAACCCAGGTCAACCTATAAGAGACACCACTATGTGTCCTGTGCTGGAGGATGGAAGGGGGCAGGCACCCCAAGACACACCCCATGAGCCCTTACATCTTTGGCTAGGCCTCAGCTACCTCATCTATAAAATGGGCACAAAGAATACACACCCTTGGCCAAATCCAACAGCGGGCACTTTCCTGTAGGGAGGCTCCTAGTTCAGCCTGGGCTCCATTAGCTACACACACAGCCCTGACTCAGCCGTGCATCAGAGGACCATAGGAACAGGGACAGGAGAGGCCACAGCCTGATGTGGGACAGACTGCTTTGAGGTCCCTTGCGCCACTCCACTGAAATACCTCAGGCCCACACCTCAACCATCCTGGGACAGACAGTCCCAAGGACAAACCTGCAAGCCCAACACACTGCCAACCAGGACTGTTTCCCCATCTAGAACACAAGCTCTGGTCCAGCATTCCTGTGCTTTCCAGGTATACCCTGTGAGAGGGCGGTAGCTCAGTGCCCAAATGGGGGCACGGAGAGAGGGCCCTGAAACACCTGGGCTCGGTGTCCCGCTCCGTCCTTGTCACCCCTGTGGCAGCCACTGCACACAGGCAAAGAGAAAGGCGGGCCCATGGGAGGAAGGGAAGGAAACCAGAGAAAAGCAATGCATCGCAGTCTGCAGGGAGCAGAAGCCCGGCCGGACACCCACCTGCAGCCACTCCGAGGCGTTGGGCGAGTTGCTCTGTGCTGTCCAGGCGTTGATCTTGCCCCGATTGTCCAGCCGCCCAAGGAAGGGGAGCCAGTTGAACATCGGCAGCCCCCACGTCTTGTAGCTGCTGGAGGCTGTGATCTGCCTGTTGGGGATGCTGCCGTCCTTCAAGCCCAGGGGTTCAGAGCATCCTGCTGGCAAAGACAACCATCACTCTATCTCCCAGTGGGAGCACAAATCCGTGAAGGGAAAGAGCGGGAAGAATATGGATCCTGATCTGCCCCGAACTTTTTTTTTTCCTTTGAGACTGGGCCTCATTAAGTTTTCCAGAAAAGCTCTGAATTCCTGGGCTCAAGCAATTCTCCTGCCTCAGCCTTCCAAGCAGCTGGGACCACAGGTGCTGCCACCACACACAGGCTGTCATGCTTGCAGACAGAAGAAGCTCCATCCAAATACCTTGCCTGCTACTGCCTGTCCCACCTTTGAGTCACAAAGCCTGCCCACCTCAGCCCGATCACCCTGCCCAGCGCCTCACAGACCACACAGGACCCCCAGGCCGCCGCTCCTCTCCTGAGGGTCCAGGGCACCCACCCTGCTTCAGGACCCAGCCTGCGAGACTCCACGGCACCTTCCCTTGAGCCTGCACAGCACCCCAGGCCGCACCTCAAGGCTTTGGGATTCTCTCCGCAGACACTAAGACAACCACTGCATCTGCCGCATGTTGACCTCAGTCACCACTTCAGCCACTAGAAAACCTGGGCAGTGCAGCCATTGAGCACCCATCTTACAGATGACAACTCAGAGGCTAGACAGGAAATATCAGACTGTGCGAACCCGCTAGGAAAAGCTCAGCCACATGTCCGATGATACTCCTGCCACCAGCAGCCAGGAATTAGAGAAGTCAGAACTCGGGGATCCAGGGGTGCCCTTGTATCCAACTCTATAGTTGCACACACCCTCTTAGCGCCTACATGTGCGTCTGCACCCACAGAAGTCCTGTGCGCTGTCACAGCCACACCCAACCCACTCCTGACCCCGGGAGGCAAGGCCACCCTGCCGCCCACAGGGGAGGCTCCATCTCGGGGTCTTGAGCAGAGCTGGCAGTGATCACACAGGATAGAGGAGTCGTGCAGAGAAATCGAGGGCCAGGGCCCCATGCAGACCACGGACCTGACTGCCTCTCAGCCAGTACCTAAATCTCTTCTCATTTCCCACTTAAAACTGGTCCTGGGATTTAGCTCAGCAGTTCAAGCACTTGCTTGGTAAGCACAAGGCTGTGAGTCCAATCCCTGCTACCAAACAATAATAATAACAATAATCATAATCATAATCATAATCATAATATGGCTTGAAAGGCAGTGGGCCCGGGAAAGGGCATGAGTCAACCTAAGTTCAAACAGAGATGGGGACCAAGTGTAGCAGTGCACTCCTGTGATCACGCTGGGAAGCTGAGGCGCAAGCAAGGATCGCAAATTCAACTCCAGCCTAGGCAACTTAGCAATCTAGTGAGACCCTGAATAAAAAACTTAAAAGCTGGAAATGTGGCTCAGTGCAGGGGGTCTGAATTCAACTCCCAGTATCAGAGAGAGAGACAGGGAGAGAGAGAGAGAGAGAGAGAGAGAGAGAGAGAGAGAGAGAGAGAGAGACAAAGAGAGAAGAGAGAGAGAGAGAGAGAGAGCATATGACACAGGAGAGCAAGAGGTGTAACTCAGGGATGCAGTGCTTGTCTGGCATGCCTGAAGCCCTGATTCATCCCCAGTAACACACACAAGATGAAGCCAGCAAGCCACAGAACCCACATCCATGTGACACTGGGTGGTACGTGAAACAAGACCACAGGAAGGGGTGCCACAGAGGGAAAAGGGGAGTGGCCTGGGACCAGCAAGCCAGGCAGAGACCTCGCCTCTGCCTGGCTGCCCCATAAGACGCAGTCCCGCCAATGGCCAGCAGGTGGCGCGACGACTTTAAAAAACCGAAATGCCCAGCCCTGAAGGCCTCTACAGCAGGAGCCATGAACTCCAACCTCTGGGATGGTGCTGCCTGCCTCCGCAGAAATTTCTGGTTCCTCCCAACTCTCCACCTAGGACTCTCTCTGATAGGGAAGCAGGAAGCACCAGCTCTCCAACTCTGGTCCAAGAAGCCCTGGGCTCCCAGGCTCCCCACCATGGTACATGAAGTACCTGGGTGTCACTTCCTCCTTCCTTCCTCCCCAGCACTGGTGTGTTCTGGAGGCACCAGGGCCCAACCAGGCTGGGTGAGAACACTCTGGAAACTGGAGTTTTCTCTCAACTAACCAGAGACCAGAGCTATGGGTGGCAGCTGGCATACACCCAGGCAGGTACGTATACCAGGCGGTGTACGTTCCCAATATGACCCAGGTCCCTGAGGCTTGCCGCCAGCCCTGGCCAGCTCAAAGAGAGGGAGCTGACACAGAAGGCTGCCCACCCCCCAGCTGGCCACAGCCCCCACACTCACCATTCAGCTCACAGCCCAGGAGCTCGAAGCGCAGGGTACAGCCCCTGTAGCAGGCCACGGGGTACAGCCTCACATACTGCACCTCCAGCGGGGCGCTGAACATGTTGAGCTTCAGGCCGTTGTTATTCATGTTACCAGTGAACACCTAGCAGGGAGGGCCAGGACTGGGGTCAGCGTGGGCAGCCACAGGCTAGACAGAGAGGAATCAGCAGAGCCCCCATCCCTGCCCCCACCCCAGATTCTCCTTCTGCACCCTCTGTGGTCATCATGAGCACCGGACATCACCCCACCACCACTATTTCACGCATAGCTACCTAAAAGTGCTTCTGTGCGTATTAGGAAAAGGTACTCCTTCTGCATGACACTTTATTAGGACAACTTCCCGTCCCAACAGCTAGAACCATGCAGATATACCACATCCATACTGTGAATAGTGACCACTTAGCAGTGACATTCCTGAGCTATGTGTAACCTGCACAACTACACACAGGAACCCTTAAGGTTCAGAATGAAATCCAGGGCTGGAGATTTAGCTCAGCACCTTAAGCGCCTGCCTGGCAGGCACGAGGTCGTGCGTTCGATCCCTGGTACCAAAAAAAGAAATCCAGCTCCACCGACACTACTCCCCACAGCAGGTTAGGGCACCATGGTGGGGTTCTCTATTCTTATCCATAAAGTGGGGTTATAATCTGTTGCCACAGAATGTGGACACAATGGTTTGACTGATTTCTAGACACCAAAATGCCAATCATCCTAAGATGCCCTTGCTTCTGTCTACCCTAGGACTGTATTGGGGTGCTGAGCCTACGAGGCTCACCTTGTCCCCAGAGTCCTCTTCATTCTGGATGAACTGGAACTTGCGTCCATCGAGGCTGTAGGCCACTTTGAAGGTCTTCACATACTCCGCACTGCCTGCGCGGCTGGCGCCCTGCGTCACCACACCTGTCACCCGCATCTTCCGAAGGAGGTTCACCTGTCCCAGGGGCACAGATCTGCACCTTATCTCCAAGATCCAGGTACACTGGCCCCCTAAACCCTACAACCTAGCGGAGGATCACCAAGGCCTCATCCTTGGCAGACAGCCCCTCCTCTGCATGGCCGCTTCCATCAGGTCCCCAGACCTTTACCCACAGCCACCTGTCACCTCGCTGGGCCTGGGTACAAACTCCCCAAATGCAGGCACTTTCTCACAACTGCCCCTCCCATTACCCTGGTGCCACACAAGCATCCCCTCTGCACCTGGATCCAGGGCTTCCTGTCATAGTTGCTGGCTGTCCAGGCGTTGACGATGCCCGAGCGGTGCAGCCGGGCCAGCTCTGGACCCCAGCGCTGCAAACCCAGGAAGCCGATGTACAGAGATGATGCAGAGATCTGTGAGTCCACGATGATGCCCTCCTCCATGCCCAGGCCCCTGTTGCAGGCTGCAGGGAAGAACAGGCCAGTCAGGGGCCACCCTAGGACACCTCATACCTTCATTCAGAGCAATGCCATGAGGGACAGCAGGCCTGGGACCCAGTGCTGCCAGAGGACCTGGCCAGGACAGGCGTGTCTGACAGGAAGTCCCCCTGCCAGACACTGGGCATGTGCTGGGGGGACATGTGCTGGGCAGCAGCAGCTCTGGCATGGGATGGACTGTGCAAAAGAATACCAGTGTGGTGCTTTTCCTCGAGAGTGGATGTGCAAAAAAGGGGACCTTAGACACTCGAGAATGGACCAAAACAATACATGAGTCTGCCTGGGTATTCCAGAACCATACCCCTCAGCCCTGCAAGAGTTTCCAGGTGAGGCAAGAACACCTTTCTGTCCTTCCTTGTGCCCTCAGGACCACCCAAGGTCTTCACTCACCAGCCAGCTGGAGCCAACATCTGCTTCATCACCCTAGCCACATGGACCAGGACTCAAGACAGCTATCACATCTGCCAGCAGGTGGGGCCCCTCCTGCTCCAGGGGTCCCCCCAGCACTTGCCAGGGTAAGGACACAGGGACAGGAATGTCCTGACCCAACACCCCAGTTGGTGCTGAGCTCAGTTCCAGCACTCTCTTGCTCAAATGGTGGCCAGGGATTCAAGATCAGGGACAGCCAGAGGCTCTGCCTCCAGGATCATCCTCACACCCAAGGCCACCCCGAGGGACTCGGGTGTACAATCACAGTGCTAACTCCAGAGAAACATCACCAGACAATTGAGGCAGCCCCCAGGTCTCTCACCTAGCCTGTAGGGTCACCTCCTACCTGTGTCTCAGGTGTGACTGAATCCAGGCAGGCAGACCCCAGGCCAAGAAATATAAAAGTCAGATTAGTCAGGCGGTGGTGCATGCCTGTAAATCCCAGGACCTGGGAGGCTGAGGCTGGAGAATTTGCAAATTGAAATCCAGCCTCAGCAACTTACTGAGATTCTGTCTAAACAAAATAAAACAAAATGCACAAAGGGTTGGAGATGCAGCTCAGTGCAAAGGCCCCAGTTTCCATCAGAGCCAGTCAGGGGGGTAATTCCACACAGGCACACCCATAGTTACCTCAGCCTAGCAAGGTAATTACGGCCCATGGCTCCACCCCAGCTCTGTCTGCTTTAGACACCCATCCCCCATCCTCTGGCCGGCTCAGGGCCCAAACACCTCTGGCTTCAGGGCAGGCCTCCTCGAGGCAAGGATGCAGCTCCCATCAGGCGAACCCCAGAGCCCAGCCCCCATCTGCCCAGCAGAGAACAGAGGCCACCTGACCTCAGTCCCAGACACTCTGTGGCCACATGCTGGGTGGGTCCCTCACGCACCCACCATCCTGGGCACAACATGCCCCCCCCGGGGGGGGGGCAAGGCAGTAAGAGTCCTTGGGCAATGGGTAGGGTGCTCTGGCTGGGATTTCCCAGCCCCTCTGCACACAATGGGCCTCTGCCCACCTGACCAGGGGGGATGGGACAATCCAGTCACCCAGCTCTTCTCCTCCTCCCCATGACTGCTGTGACAAGGTCATAGGTCAAATTTGGGCCAAGATTGATTTACTGAGCTCTTGGAGCCCAAAAGCTTAAGAATGTGTTTATTTTCCCTGATTATCACAAAAACCCGCAGAACTAACCCTAACACTGTGTGCAGCTCATGGTGACTTGGGAAAGAGTGCTTATACAACCTCCAGGGTCACTGCAACCCCTCACTCTCAGGCAGAGACCTCAGGCCTGATCTGCAGTCCCAGGAGAAAGGACCAGGCCGAAAGAAACGGCAACACAACCATTTGCCCTTCACTAAGGTTCTGTCCCTACCTCAATGTCCCCAGAGAACAGGGGCAGCTCACAGCCTGGGCCACCAGGACAGAAGCCCCATCTTCCCCAGGAAGCACCCGGGTACTTACTCGTCTCGCAGTGGATGCCCGCATAGCCCGGAGGGCAGTCACAGATGTATGGGGTAAACACATCCCCTCGGTGGGAGCTGTCGATAACCTGACACCCAGCATTGTGGTAGCAGGGATTTGGGGAACAGGGACCTGGGGACGAGAGACAGGGAAAATAGGTAGATGATCAGAAGTGGCACACGGGCCTAGCACAGAACAGCCCTCTACCCACGCTGGGTCCCCTCCTCCAATCGCCTGGTGCAGCCTGAGCCAACAGGAACCTAGCAGGCTCGTGGGTAGGTGAATCTGCCCAAATACAGGGCCTGCCCAGATTTCCAAGTGGCCTGGAGTTTCCGGGGGATGCTGGCTGCCATAGGGAGAAGTGGGGACCACCTCCCACTGGGGGAGAGGGTGGGGGTTGATGCAGCAGCCAGGCCCTTGCAGGGCCCTTTACCTTTCTCAGTTTCATTGCAAAGGAGGCCTGTGAAGCCCTCAGGGCAGAGGCAGTAGGAAGAGACACTGTCCTGGCCAAACAAGCAGGTCCCACCATTCAGGCATATGCTGGAGTCACAGAAGTCACCTGTAACAGCAACCCCGCCTCAAGCACTCAATAAACATGTGAGAGATCAACTGCCACATGCACGTCAGGGTTTAAGTCAGGTGCAGGCCAGGCCTCCAGGGACCCATCGGAAAAAGGCAGCCAGAAACTGACAATGTGGTGGCCTGTGAGTGGGACCTCTGACACGGGGCTCTACCAGGGAGAGTTCACCAGCAAGGGGACATTTGAGCTGGGTCTAAAAGATGCACTGGGCGGGGACTGACTGGGGCTTAGAGAAGAGCGCTCTAGAGAAAAGCAGATGCATCCAGGGCAGGAGTAAGATGCAGTGGCAGAAGAGGGTGGGAAGGACCTTAAAAATGGCAACTTGGTGAGACCCTGTGTCAAAACAAAAACCACTAATATTTTTAATGGGCTGGAAAGGTAGCTCAGTACAAAGGCCTCAGATTTGCTCCTCAGACCAAAACAAAACCAAGTTTGGAGTTTGTATCCAGCAGATCAGAAGCTTTTAACCTTCCTCCAACCTCTCCACCAATGTCCAACAGGAAAACACAGTCTCCAAGTGACTGTCCCACCCTGAGGGAGAGGCACCCCCAGTGAATGCAGACCCTGATGGCTCCTTGGGGTGAGAGGAGTCTGGGGGGCTGCAGGCCAAGCCCCACCCCATGCGAGCTGAGGAGGGAGTCAGGGCAGAGCAGTGGAGCAGCCTACATTTGACTGACTGGGGAGAGGGCCAAAGAGGTAGCACTGGGGCTTGGAAGGCACTATGGCTCCCAGATGGGTCCCTAGGTGACAAATGAGCACTTGACCACCGCAGAATACAGGAGCAGGCTGAGCTGGATCCAAGGACTGTGCTGGTCCCCCACCCGAACCTGCCATTTGGGGTGAGTGGGAGAAAACTCACTTCTTCCCGAGTCACCTGCCCAAGCCAGCCGCCCTCTTGTAGTCCCAAAACCCTGGCGCCCCCGCGGGCCCAAGCGGAAGGCCCTTACCGTGAACAGCCTGTCCGCCCCTGCGGGGCCCAGGGAACTCAGGCAGCTCCCAAAGAGCTATTAGTCACTGGCTTTAAATAGCAGGTTAATCCCGCCTCTGACCCGGCCGGGAGGAGGGGGCACTGCTAAGCCCAGGGGCCTGGCCTCCTCTTTATCCCCTCCGGCCACACCCTCCGGGGCTGCTCCAGGGTAGGAAAAACGGTCCACAGTGAAAAAGGCGGGATCACCTGCCTAAGGTGCCTCCTCCCGGGAAGGGCCAGATCGCCCTCAATAAACTGGCCCACGCCGGGCTTTCAGGGTCCTCCTGCTCCCGGGAGCCGCCCACCGGGCAGAGACCCAGGAAACAGGTTGGACGCGGCAGAGAGGAGAGGTGGACGGGGGGCGGCGAAGACCTGGACATCTTTCTGGCTGGCCAGGAGGTACTAAAGGCTTCGGCTTAAGCCCCGGTGGCATTTGTTTCCCAGGACATCAGAGTTGGAACCCAGCTGGGACTTCCTTGCCTCTTTGGACCCCACTTCTATAAGATAAGAGGGGACTGCCTGAGAGACCCTTGCCGGCACCCCCACAGCGAAGGGAATGGGGCCTCCCGCCGAGCACCTTACTGGAGGCCTCATTGTCCCTGGGGCCTGCGCGGGGGAGGAGGACCAGGAAAGAAACAGTGGGCGGCCAAGGCCACTAGAGGGAGGGAGGCGGTCCCCCAACTAGCCAGTACTCCCACCGTCTCCTCTGCCTTTCCTTTATCCGATCCAACACGGACGAGTGGGGGCGCAAAAGTCCAAAGCACTGCAGAGCAGTGGTGGCGCCTGCTTAATCTCAGGACGCTGAGAGGCTGATGCAGGAGGGTCCCAAATGCGAGCCCAGCCTGGGCAACTTTGCAAGAACTTGTCTAAATAAACAAAAGGGGCTTGGAATGTGGCTCAGCACGAAGGCTTTGGGTTCAATCCCCACTACCGCCAAAATGAAAAAAAAAAAGTCCAAAGCAGGGTGCAGCATGCGGCTCGGTAGGGTGCTGCGGGAAAAGCGGCAGGAGCCGCAGACCCGCACGAGTCCCGGATCCTCCCCGGGGACGGAGCGTCAGACGTAGCTCCATGGCCTCATTTTACAGACGGCAAAAGAGAGGCCGACGCAGCGGATTCCTTTGTTCTGTGTAAGCCACATCCTAGGGGCAGCCGCGCTCTCACCCAGTGCCCGCGACCCGCCTGGCACGCCGACCGCTGTCCCTGCTCACAGGCCTGTGCGGGGCAGAGGCCACAGGGCGCGCATCCTCCGGGCGCAGCCGGGGCGCGGCGCCCGAGTTCCTCCGCACCCGGGCGGGTGAGCCCGGAGCAGCTGGGAGGGCGGCGACGGCGTCAGCGACTCACCCGAGGCGGCCAGGAGGCCGGAGGCGCAGAGCAGTGCGCCGCACAGCGCGGCCAGCACGCGAGGCCCCTGCATGCTGCGGCGGCGAGGGGGCTCCTCGCCGCCTGTGCGCCCGGCCCCGAATAAATCCAGCGGCTCGGCGCCTCCCACCGGCCACCGGCTCCGCCCCGGGGCGGAAGGGGCAGGGCGGGGCTCCAGGCAGCCGAGCGGGACCAGGCGGGAGCTCGGGGTCCCCGGACCCATCCCCCTCGCCGGCCACGCCCCGCAGCTCGCGGCCCTCAGGCGGCCCGGGCCCGGCCTGTGATTGGACCAGGCAGAGGAAAACTCAGCAAGAACTTTTTTTTTAAATTTTAGACTTCAAGCCAGACGGGATGACTCACGTCTGTAACCCAGCTGTGCAGTCGTGAGAGGCTGAGGCAGGAGGTTTGCAATTTCGAGCCCTGCCTGGTCAATGGGGAGACTGAGAGCTTGTCTTAAAATTAAAAGTAAATGACAAAGCCTGTAACTGGTAGAGCACTTGCCTAGAGTGCGCAAGACCCTAGTTCAACCAAAAAAATAAAAATAATAAAAAGTGAGAAGGGACTCAGTGTGAAGGCCCTGGGTTCAGTCTCCAGGACCCGAAAAAAGCTTCTGGACTTTTGAAAAGACACAGCAGCTTATTCCCCATCAGAGAAGGAAGATTCCTGTGAGTACTGTGTTTCCCTGATCAGCTGGCAAGGGTCGAGACCTCCTCCGCCAGTCCCAGGCGAACTGTTTGTGTCCGCAGGGTGAATGGGCAGGGCTTCTCTGGTGACCCCTCTCAAAATGACTTGCGGGCACCCCAAGACGCAGCAGTTCCCTGAATGGCACTCTCTCAACAGAAATCCCCAGTGCCAAGTGACACCTAAACTAAGACCAGAACAGCAGTTCGTAGACTTGATCTGTAAAGGTTCCAAAGTTAAATGCCCTAGGGTTTAAGGGCAATAAGAGCTTCACCACAGCCTCTCTTCACCTCTGGTGCAGTGGCAGGAAAGCAGCCCCAAACAATAACAAGGAAATGAGTGGATGTGGCAGCCAAGGGACAAGGGACAGAAGCTGGACTGTGAGGGAATTGTGAGGGTCACTTTCTAGTCACCGCACACTTTCCACTGATGCTTTTGTTAAAGCCACCTGTGAGTATTGTCTGTTTAGAAAGAAGTGACTGCTGGGCGTGGTGGCACACATCTGTAGTTCCAGCACTCAGGAGGCTGAGACAGGAGATTACTCTGAGTCCAAGGCCAGCCCAGTCTATTCAAGGCCATCCTGTGCCACATAGCAAACCCTGTCCCAAACACGACTTGAGTGCTAGTCATTTTTTTGTCACTTGAGTACCAGATCCATCAGACTAGCAAAATGAAAGAAAAAAAGAGAAGCCACACTGGCAGGAAATCCTTTTTCACCCAGTTCCTTTCCAGTGCAGTGGTGCATGCCTGTCATCCCAGCATTCTGGGAGACTGAGGTAGGATTACAAGTTCCAACCCAGCTCAGGCAATTTAGGAATCTATTAAGACCCTGTCTCACAATAAAAACCAAAGAAGGGCTGGGGATGTAGCTCACTGCAAAGGCCCCGGGTTCAAGCCTCAGGACTACAAATAAACTATTTTGGAAAGACCACATGTGATCGACTCGACTCTCATAGAAAAAGCATTTGATGATACCCAGCAATCGCTCCTGACATAACATTCAAGACCTTAGGAGTAAAAGGGAACTTTCTTGACCAGATAAGAAAATACCAAAGAAAAGCCCACAGCTCACGCCATTGCTAACGGTGAAAGACTCAGTGTTTCCTGAAAATCAGGAACAAGACCAGGACTTCTGCTCTCATGGCTTCTATTCATTTGTGTCCAAGAGGTTCCAGCCAGGACAATGAGGTCAGAGCCAGAAAGTGTACATCAACCAGAGAGGAGGAAGTAAGATTATCTCTTCCTCTATTCACAGATCTGGGGTATAAAAAACCCAGAAGAAGCCATACACAAAAAGCAACTTTTTTTTTTTTTTTTTGAGACAGGGTCTTACTATGCAGTTCAGGCTCAAAAAGCAACTATTAAAGCTATTAAATGACCAGACATGGTTGCATATACATATCTGTAATCCCGCCTATGGTGGCTGAAATAGGAGGAATCACAAGTTCAAATCCAGCTTGGGTGATTAAGAGAGACTCCATCTTAGAATAAAAGAAAACTTTGCGGGACTAGAAGTCAAACTGGTGGTACGTGCCTATAATCCTAGCACTCTGGGAGGCTGAGGCAGGAGGACCACAAGTTCAAGCCCAGCCTGGGCAACTTAGTAACTCAGCAAGAACTTGTTTCAAAATAAAATCTAAAAAAAAAAATATTTTAAAGTTTGGATATGTGGCTCAGCATGAACACCTTGCACCTATTCCCAGTACCAAAAAAAGAAAAGAAGTGAAATAAAGGAAAAAAGAAAAGAAAAGACAGAAATTTGAACATACATAATATAGCAAAAAGACTATCTCACTTACCTGGTAAGTGCAAGATCATGAGTTCAATCCCCCATACCAAAAAAAAAAAAAAAAAAAAAGACTGTCTCTACGTCTTGTCTTTGATAAGGTCTATGTTACATCAAACTAGAGGTTCGTGTTGGTGAAAAATGCTTTCATACATAAAAGTTTTGACTTTTTTCCACCTCTCACCCAAAAAGCTTTGGGTCCTGAGCTAGACAAGGACAGCTAATTTCACAAAGGCACCAAGACTGTACCTGCTATAATTACCATCTGATTCATTTTAAAAGTTTAACATACACTGACCTACAGCAAATCAGTAGACTGTATTTTCTCCCTTAGGAAGTTTTCAACTAGAATGGAGTCAAATCACTTTCCCTATTTTGTGTTTTTGAGTTTGAGGATCTCCTTTTGTTTTTTGAGGCTGGGTCTCCTCTACAATCCAGGTCACTATACAGCCCGGGCTGGCCTAGAACCTGCGAAGATGCTCCTGACTCAGGCTCCCCCAAGCACAGCACTGGGTTTACAGGTGAGTGCCACCATGCCTGGCTTCACTTTCTTTTTCTTTGCAGTGCTGAGGATAAAACTCATGATTTAATCTCACTTTAAAATGCAAGATCAGGTTTACTCTGGGGTGTGCAACGGAAATGTAGACCTCCTTGGCACCAGGCTAAGAGATAGCCTGGGAAGAACCACCTGCAGGACCTGGTGACCCAAGCCGGCCACCAAGAAGCAAGGAGGTTACAGATTCAGCCTAGAAAGTGGGTCCTTGCCCACCCTGGCCTCAACTGTTCGCAAATCTCAAATCAGTCTTCGGTTCCCTATGGGCAAGGCTGGAGCACAGGCCCAGTAGAATCCAGCCAAAATTCTCCAGCTAGTGGGCACCCCTCTGCCATGGCTTGTCTGTGTTCATGTGGACAATGATAAAATAATTGATCAAAAAGCCTAGGTTTGGGAAAGGTGGTTCAGACATAAACCCAGCATGCAGGAGGCTGCAGCAGGAGAATCAGTGTTCAAAGCCAGCCTGGAACACCTAGTGAATTTAAGCCCAGCCTAGAATACATAGCAAGACCTCGTCTCAAAAAACTATACACACACACACACACACACACGAAGCTTAGGCGAGCCCGGCATGGTGGCACATCTGTAATTCTAGCACTTGGGAGGCTGAGGCAGGAATATACCAAATTTAAAACCAGCCTAGATTACATAATGAGATCTTGTCTTTAAAAAAATAAAAATAAAAACAAAAGTTGAAGACTTGGAACAGCACAAACATTGCTCACCTAGTAAGCACTAATTGAAGTTCTTGTCTAGGATAAATGGTACAAAAATAAGTAATGAGATTCCCCAAACATTGGCACTCAGATTACTTCGCCTCACTTGAAAGCAGTACAAAATGCTGTCTCCCACACACCAAGGACAAGCTTTACACTAATATTTCTCAAAAATCAAGTATCAGGCCAGGGTTTTAGCTCAGCGGCATAAGTGCCTGCCTGGCAAGCGTAAGGTCTTGAGTTCGACCCCTGGTACCAAAAAAAAAAAAAAAAATCAATTATCAGAGCACGAGCTTAGATTGCAGGATGACCTGGCTTACATCCCCAGCACACACACAAAAAATGTTTAACTCCATGTATCTCCAGCTCCAGCCTCAGAGTAAGACACTAGTAAAACACTGTTCCTAGGCTGTAGATGTAGCTCAGCAGAGTCCTACCTTGAGTGTGCAAGGCCCTAGGTTAAAGGCCAGTGTCACTGGGCCAGGTCCAAGAGACCCTACAAGCTGAAATAGGAATTTAATCCATCTTTTTGCAGCAGGTGTGCTGACTCCTGTCACTCAAAAAGAATTTTTAGGACTCAGGAGAAAGAGCTAAGTTATTAGACAGGACTTAGCAACGAAGTGCAGGCACTCAGAAAAATGAGAGGAGTTACAGAAAGGAGCTGGGAACGTTTATGTTTTTCTTAAGGGGATGGAAATCCTGGGGAAAAGGGGCTCCTTCTCCCCAAGAAGGGGGAATTCTAGTCCACTCCACAGGCATGGGCAGTTCTTTTGTTCTATGCGCAGGTAATTTAAACGTTCTCTGGATTTTCTCCCCCTTCTCCTTTTTCTTAGGGTCAGTCCCCTGTTCCTTACTTTCTTAATTGAGCCAGTACATGGCTTTTAGTGAAGGGTTTGGTCAGGAAAGAGTCAAAATCTAGCCAGAGGAGTGCTGCCCTGGGGCTTCCTCGGGGAGCCTCAGCTGAGTCCTGGAAGTTGCTGTCTTCTTAAAAGTACAGTTTTTGGTTATGATTTCCAGGTCTTCTTTCTACCTATCTTTTTATTTCTTCTATCCTACTTGACTAACAATGCCAAAAAAAATCTTATTTTTATTTAAAAAGATAAACACTGTACCGCTCCTGTGTCAGCTCCAGGCAGAGAAGCAGAGGCACAAGAATTAGTGCCCCATGACCCCTGAGGAGCGAGAGGTCCAGAAGCCCGGGTCCAGGGGCACCCAAGGCGGGGGGCTGAGGTTAAGAGTCCCTTGCCCCTTCCTTCCTGGTGCTGGGACGTCCCTTCTGAGTGGTGGGAAGGATCCATGGTGCCAGGATGGGACCTGGTAAGGCAGTGGACGATCTAGAGGTGAAGCAGCCCTGAGCCTCTGTGTAGCAGAAAAATAGGGTGCTGCTTGGGGTGCCTGGGGT